GACTGGAAATTTTCCCCAGATATTAAGTAGGCGAATATCAGTCATAAGTGTTGATTGTAAACTCTGAACTCTGATACTTTTTTCAATGCATTTTTTAAAGCTTTGAATATTTTTGGTGATAATAATAGTTCTTTTCACTGTTATCATCATTTTTATTATTATTATCATTGTTGTTTTCATTATGAGTATCATTAGCACATCATTATTATCATTATGCCTATAATTAATACTTTTTGGGTACTTATTTAGTATCTGTCAAGGGGTAAAAAAAGCTGACAATCTAAGAGTCTAAAAAGAGAATGATTAGATTTGGGATTGGTGAGATGGGTGGGGAGGGGTATTTTTGTGATTTGTTTGACAGAGAGAGAGGTATAGGGGACAATACAATGTTGATAACATCAGTTGTACTTTTGCTGAAGATCTTATGTGGGAACTGATGAAAGGACAGACCGGCATCTGTGCTGTAGTGTAGCATGCAACAGACCTAAGTTCGATTCCTGATTGGGGAGAATTTTTTAGTTTCTCTGTCTGTCTGCTTGGATGTTGCATTATATCCCTCTCAGCAGGGTGGAAGCCTATACCTCCTAAATTATCTAAACTGTGTCGGTAAGGGCATTAAAAGCCTACATTAAATAATAGAAAGAACATCAGACTACTTTTATGATCATCATCAGCATCGTCAGCCTGCCCGCCATCTTTATCATCGCGTCAAGTCCGGACGTGTATTTCCATTCTGTGTGTTCCTCTACCCCCTACCCCCATCCCTACATTCTATTTCCTTTCTTAAGATGTATTTTTAAGCATTGTTTTTTCCTTATACAAAGGCCTTCAATTCAACGAATGAATGATTTGATATGTGATGAATAAAAAAGTAGATGTTTTTTTTATTCCTGGGAAACGTACATTTCTCTCACAGCCTTGCATTTAACAGGCGACACTTATTACAAAGAACAAATATGTATTTGTGTAAAGATTTTTTATCTTTTTTATTACTTTTTTTATATTTTTTGTTTGTTGCTTTATTGGATATTCTTGTTCCTGTGGGTTTTTGGGGGTTGTTTTTTTTTTTTAGTAGGGTCGGTGGTGTTTTTGGTTCTCTTGTTCTTTCCTTGTGATCTTAAACATTACGTTTTTTCTTCTCTTTCGTATTTTTGTTTTTGATAGTTTTTTATTCTCAAATCAGTGGGTGGTTGGAGGAAGGTGCCACTGGTTGGTTCTACTTCATTCATCTTTTTCCCGTTGTTGTTTATGTCTGTCTGTCTGTCTGTCTTACCCCCTCGCC